GTATAATGCTCTATAGGTGATGTATGGTGGGCGAGCCATAGATAGCTTTGACCGCAGGATTCTGAACGTCTACATGGATGAGTACCTCGGAGACTTCCTCTTCTACACCTTTCAGCGCTTCCACTTCTTCAAAAACAAGGACGTAGATTATAAGATCCCTCCAAATGGGCCCAAGAAAGTATATGTTGGTCAGTCGCTATTTTCATTACTTTACATTCCCATGAAAAAGTTACTTTTCTGTCATCACTCACAGCTTTACCCTATGTACATCTGTTACAGATGAGATTGAGAACCTGCCACTGGAAAACACAGCAGAGGTAATGGGTCTTCATTCCAATGCAGAGATAGGATACTATACTCAGGCGGCTAAAGACATGTGGACTCACCTGATAGACTTGCAGCCTCAGACAGGTATGATTTGGCATCTTTCATTTCTCTTGCCTCTTTATTGATTTTAAGGAAGAAATAGTAGCATTACATGCCTGCTTCTTGAGTTCTGAGCACTGAAGAGCATCCCTGGAGATAATATTAACTGTTTTCATAAGGACAAGCTGTTCCATATTGTTAAAGGGTCTTTGCTTTAGTCTGTTTGCAACCATGCTGCCAAGTGCTTCCTCTTTTATGGCCTTTGAACACTCTCTTATGCCTCAGGTGAATCTGGTGGAAGCATCAGTAGGGATGAGTACATCAGCCAGGTGGCCCAGGACATTCAGAACAAGCTGCCTAAGTTATTTGACATGGATGTGATCCGTAAAAACTTCGGTACAGACATTTCCCCGACCTCAGTGGTGCTGCTTCAAGAACTGGAGCGCTTCAACAGGCTAGTGGTCCGCATGCAGCACTCTCTGGCTGAGCTGCAGAGGGTGAGAAGGGGGGACAGATGACAACAAGATATTGTTGGAGCAAACAGACAGGTTTTGCATCTTTGTGCTTCACACAGGTTTAGATTTTATATGATTCCTTGGGTCCCCTAGGCCCTGGCTGGTGAGGTGGGTATGAGCAGTGAGTTGGATGAAGTCGCTCGGGCCTTTTTTAATGGTCACATCCCTGCCATTTGGAAGAAGTTGGCACCTGACACTCTTAAGTCCCTCGGCAACTGGATGAGCCATTTTAAGAGGCGTTATGAGCAGTACAGCTACTGGGTGAGGATGGACGCACACTATCACAGATAATCTCTGATATGTGGCCTATTGTATTCTGGCATTACTGAATAGCTCTGAGGTGACAATTTTTTCTTTATGTCTGATGCATCTTGTGTCCACCAGGTGGAAAAAGGAGAGCCAAAGGTCATGTGGCTATCAGGACTCCATATCCCAGAGTCCTACCTAACTGCCTTGGTCCAAGCTGCATGTAGGAAAAATGGTTGGCCTCTGGATCTTTCCACACTGTACACACAGGTGACCCAGTACCGCAGTGAGGATGAAGTCAGTGACAGACCTGGACAGGGTAAAAAAAAAAATAACACTCATCATTAACAACATGATTAGCGGTGAGTTATAGAGACTGATAGTGTTTTTCCTGCAGGCTGCTTTGTGTCTGGCCTGTATCTGGAGGGAGCAGACTGGGACACGGAGAAGGGCTGCTTATTGAAGAGTAAACCAAAAGTGCTTGTTGTTGAACTGCCCATTCTCAAAGTCATCCCCATAGAGGCTCGTCGCCTCAGGTTACAGGTGTGAACCACAGACACTACAGGCCTCCATACAGTACTTCACTATTTTGATGTGATGTTTGATGTATTTTTATGTGTTTTGTATCGCAGAATACACTACGGACACCAGTGTACACTACGTCCTTGCGGAGGAGTGCAATGGGAGTTGGCTTGGTGTTTGAGGCAGACCTGTTCACCACTATGCATATCTCCCACTGGGTGCTCCAGGGAGTCTGTTTATGTCTGAACGCAGACTGAAGTGAGCCATCAGGTTCTCTGAGCTGGTTAGCTTTCACACAGTTTGTTCCAGTGATTATAATAACAGCCATGCCTGACATCAGAGTTACAGATTACAAGTAAATAAATAAATTATGATGAATTATTGTATATATTTGTGAAAGAAGAAATGATAGAGACATTAAAAAAAAACCCACAGAATTTGTGACTACATCGTAGCTTTCATTACTTAGTCACTAGATGGCAGCACACAACAGTACTGAGCCCTTTACTCTGGGCAGTTGTTCCTAGGATTTCTCTTTGGTGTTACACAGGACTAGAATGCCCACATGCCATAGTAGGTCAGGATCTTTCAGATTTAAAAGTCTGCACTGTTTATTCATGAATAAATTTCTGCAATTCAGTTCAATCCTATTTAATTTCTCTCTTTCTCAAAACTTTTCAGAGTTCTGTCCACTCCTGAAAAGGACAGTGGTAGCTGAATATTTCTGCTGAGGTTGTAAGGGGAACATAATCTGCTGCATTCAGTGGAAAATGTACCACTGACCAAAGGCTGCTAAAGTTTTCCACTTTACCCAAGTAGCTTTTCAGCTGTTCTCTGCAGTATTGGTAGTAGCGTACGTTTTGTTGTAACATTTAACGAACAGATCTGGTGCAGCACTGAGTAATCGAGGCTGCTGAGGTCAGCATGCCATAGCAGGTGAAGTTTACTCTAAAAGTCAGACGTCCCCAGTGGATCTGGCAGCTGGCGTGGCTGAGCAGTCACAGAAACACAGAAATAAAAACAGGTAGGAGCCATAACACGTGCAACATACATCATGTAGCCTGAGTTGTGCAAGTGCAGGTGTAATCAGGGATGTGCTGGTTAGACTCTACTGTGAATTATAGACTGAAATCATCTTAAGGCAAAAAATAAGCAACATGAAAATATGTTACATTTACATTTAAAGTTTTCCTCAAAAGATTACTGTCATGCTTCTCTTTACTGTGTTGTGTAGCCATTAAGGCCCCCTCTGAATGGCACATACCTAATGTGTATGAGCAGATCTTCAGCAAACGCACATGTACACAGACAATAGTTGATGCAGCTCTTTCTGTTTGCATAGTAAAGGGGAAGACAATTATGGAAGCAGGAGAGTAACTAGTCAAGAAATGCGGGGGGGGGGGGTCCTCTCCGTCTCCCTCCTGGGAGGTCAAAATTATTTTCAGCTGCTTGTGACTGCAGGGATTTACATTAAACCTAAGTTGCTCCAGTTCCTATTGGCACTACTGCCTGTTCCGAGTGGCCTCGTGAAATGCCATGGGCGCCCTGAAACAAAAAAGTCTGACACATCATTTTCCAACCCTCCCCCAACCCCACAACTCTAAACAGTTTCCGTTTGTTGTGATTGAGAGCAGGTGGGCTTACTCAGTTCCATTCAAGTGCATACACTGTTTGCCTGTATCTCCCTACTTTATAAGGGGGTGATTAGTGCCCGTCTGAATGCCTGTCTGTGAGTGTCAAAGTGTTAACACTGTCTCGCCTTAGCTAAAAACTTCACCAAAATTACAATAGACTATATTAGCCAGTTGCATAAGTGCTCTCTTTGCAGCATCCTCTGCAGCTGGCGGGACTTGCAGCTCAGCCCATGGGGCCTAAGAGGTGTAGTCCCCCCACCCCCCCAACCACAGATATACATCTTGGGGCCCAGTTTTTGGTTGCAGTGCCAGGTGTTTAGTTTGGAGCAGAACCGCAGCCCTGTGGTTACTGGCTGCTTGCACTGTAAACCTACATGTCCCACATGTATGGGCTGAGGGAGGTTACAGTAACCTCAACTATTCTCTTGCCACTGTCTGTCTGGGCACTGATGGCTTTGACAGAGAGGCTACAGACCACAGCCGCTAAAGGCAACCATAGGACAAAAACATTGTGGATGGATGGATGGATGGATGGATAGATAGATAGATAGATAGATAGATAGATAGTTGGGTGGATGCAGGGGACACGTCCTCCTCAATATTAAGAGCATGTGTATTTATCCCCACTAATAAAAACATGCAAGTAGCAGATGACTTTTATTTTGACAAAATTAAAGACACTGACACAGGAAATGTGCAGTAAATACTCAATGTGGTGCAAGAGAACTCACCAGAATACATAAAATGATGTGTTTGATGGTCCAGATTTTCTGGCAGAAGACCTCCACACCCCAGGTTTCATATGCCCCACCACCCCCAATGTTGAAACCAAACCTATGCCCCTGGATCGATGGATGGATGGATGGATAGATACATAGATAGATAGAGATAATAAAAATTAGGGGGGATGCAGAGGTCACACCCCCTTCACTATTAAGAGCATGTGTATTTATCCCTGCTTATAAAAACATGAAAGTAGCAGATGACTTTTATTTTGACAAAATGAAATACACTGACACTGATAAAAATAAACGGATAACTCAGCAGAATACAGAAAATGAAGTGTTTGATGGTCCAGATTTTCTGGCAGAAGACCTCCGAACACCACGTTTCATATGCGCCCCCACCCCACAATGTTGAAACCAATCCTAGGCCCCTGGATAGATGCATAGATGCATACATACATACATGCATAGAATTGTAGATTTTAGGTGGGATGCAGGAGTCAGGTCCCCCTCAATATTTAGAGCATGTGTATTTATCCCCACTTATAAAAATAGGAGAGTGGTGGATGCCTTTTATTTTGACAAAATTGACCATGAACTGATAAAAACAACAACTGATAACTAAACAGAATACAGAAAATTAAGTGTTTGATGGTCCAGATAGATAGATAGATAGATGTTAATGTTGAGGCATGACTGCAACAATACCGTGATGAACTTTATGGGCTTAAAAATATAACTTTTCAAGTCTAATAGGGCCAAAACTGAGTCATAATGTGTTTATATTCAGTTGCGTTCACCGAAAAACAATTACTCATCACCGGCACAGCTCCAGTGATTTCAGAGGAGCCTCGGAGAAGCAGCAGCAGCAGCCCATAATTCATTTAGATCAAAAAAACAATGCGTAATGTGCCGTCGCCTTGAGCATGCATTGTCCTCTGTGAGAGGTTGAAACGGGGCAGGGTAAAAGAAAACCCAGCAGGCTGTGCCATTTAAAAGACCCGAGGAGACTATAAAAGTGGTCTCATGCCCGCTGCAGTGAGGGCTCGGCTCCATACGCGTACACACGCACGCACAGTCAGACGGACGGAGGTAGTCAGAGTAGATAGAGAGAGCAGGACTACACATTTAACGACACCCACACACGTTTATATTTTAATGTCGGCCCCCTTACATAGGTAGACACAAACGAGAAGCGGGAGTTTATGGGGCGGCAATTTTCTTTAGTTCACTCAGGATTTTAAGAGCAGGCTATTTTACTCTCAAACGAGTGTCAGACATCGTTTTAACACTCCACATAAGTGCATGTTTGCTACTTTTAGGATGCGCGTCTTCCTCAGCAGACCCGGTGCTGTTTGACACATTCCCCCCACCGAGCTGGATCCACTGACCCGTGTGTTTTCTCACTGGGGGAAGTTGGGCTCATTTCAACTTTTCTGGCCGTACTTTTGATGCCACGGAAATGGGACCGCGCCAACCGGAGAGCGTGTCCGCGCTTTTTAGAAAAAGTTTGCTGTGGATTGTGCTGCTACTCTGGCTGACCACGTTTGTTGACGGGACCTGGAAGACGGGACTTTACAAGACCTACTCAGCCGGGACACAGACAGCAACCTCTCACACCTCAGTCTATCAGAAAAGGTAAGGAAACCATCCACTTTATATTATAATACACACACATACTGTGCGTGCTGCATGTTGATCCTCAACTGTGTCTTGTTACATTTACGCAATAACCCTTTTTGCCTCCACAGTCTATTTTTAAACCTCACAGCCTCACTTTTTTGTCCTCCTGAATGTGTGACTCTGCAGAGTTACTCCCATCTCCATTCATCGACCAGGTCCTATTGTCTTCCTGACAGTTGGTTTCCTTTTTCCTGTGCTGGCAGCACACTTTGCTCTGCTGTCTCCTGTCCTTATTGTTGTCGCCATCCACCCACCCTGTGTCCTTGGGGCTCCTGAGAGCACCCCCACTGTCTCTGAGGTGTGCTCTCTCTGTCCCCTGCACCAGGAGATGCAGCAGCAGACACTCCATCATCTGCTCCTTGTCACCTCTCAGCACCTCTAGTTCTCACGTCTGTAAAACCTGCTCCCAGTGAGACAGGGTGCATCTTGAGTAAGTGTTATGAGGGAGTGATGATGTTTATGCCTCTGATAAAGTGCACAAGATTGATATCTTAAGATCATTTAACAAAAAGGTGGATGAGCTGGTCTCATGCAATGATTGATCCTCTGTGTGTGAGCTGTTGATGACGCAGAGTTACCAGACTAAACACACAGGCAAGAGCGCTAACCAGCTCTGCTTCCCTCCTGGACAGAGCGCCAATGTTTAGCTCGGAGACAAGCCAGCGCTTAATGATGAGAGGATGTTCGCCATCTTACAAATATTTACGCTGTCAGGTTGAGTGTGTACAGATAACAGTGTGTGGGCCGAACGTGGCCGTAGGCTGAAACCTCTTCTCCCTGATGAGGCCTTTTCTGCTGGGTGTGTCCAGGTGGCTCTCAGCGCTCCCAGCCTCGCTCCACTGGCTCACCTCTCCGCTCTGCTCCCCTGTCACTCATGGCCAGAGGTTTGTGGACATGTTTACCAAACACAAGCAGCTGTGACGCCGCCTCACCTGGGCCTGCTCTGGGAAGGGGAGATGAGTTTACAGTGGGTTTGCTGCTGTTTGTAAGTGGTGAGTGAAGGAATGTCAGGATAGACGGAGAGGAGAGATGTTGTTGGTGTGAGTCAGCCATCGTCCCCAGAAGCAGAGAGGGTCAGTGGGTTTGAGGTGACATTAGAGAAGCTCAGTCCACCTGCTGTCTGATCTGTGGAAGCAGCAGTTTATGGTGTGTCAACAAAGCCAAACAGTAGCAGTGGGATTTCAGAGATCAGAAGGCTCTCTCATGGGCATTAGCAACTTGACATTGAATGACAGAAACTTAACTTGTCATTGGTGTTCATGCACTTCAAAGGAAATAAATTTTAATTTTAGCAGACTGAGATTCTTCAACAGGAAAACCTTCTCTAAGAATTTCTCCTCCTACCAGCCCTGTCTTCACACAGTGATTACCAAAATCAAGGGGGATTAACAACTCTTGAGTAATTTCTTGACTGGTGCGGTCGCTCTGTGGAGGAGCTGATAAAGTGTTCGTTCACCTTTGTCTTGCTTAGCGACTACATGAGCTCAGTACACTGAGGGGTTATGGAGGGAGCTGCCTCTTTATTTCTTGTCTGGCCCACTTCTTTATCCTCCCTTGGAGGACTTGTCATGGTCTGACAGGCAGTCTGAACCCCGTGGCCGCCCTCATTCCTCACCCATCTTAACCATATCCACGTTTTCTTTAAGCATGGGAATGAAGATGACAGAGATTCCAGCAGGCTGAGCCCTGGGTGGCTTAAAGCAGAACGGCTTTAGATTTCAAATAATGTATGTGCTCAAGAAAATGTTTCATCAGTATTAGAGAGCAGTCATTAGCTACACGTTAAATCTCTGGTGGCTGATAGGTTAATTAAGATGATTCTCATAGGGATGCACTGATCTAAATGTTTCAGTTCCATAAGGTTACCTGGGCTGTGGATATCAGCTGATACTGAGTACCAATACCAGATACTGGGAAGTGACTGGGATCATTGTTTCATGTGTGAGGCCACACCTGGCTTGATTTAAACAATGCTTTCCTAACTAACTAATTAGCAAGCATGAAATGCCTCCAAACAGCTGACTTGTTTGTTGTTAGCTCCCTCAACTGTTTGGTCTACCTGCGTACTACTGACAAGTGACGTGATCCAGCTATTTGAGTCAGTATCGACCTGCTATTTGAAATCAGTATCAGATCAGTGAATCCTCAGACTCTCAGGGAATGTGACCATCAGTGTAGAGCTGCAGCAGTTAGGCAATTAAACGATTAGTTGTCACTTTCTAAGCAAAAACTACAAAAATTTGACATTCCCATCTTCTCCAGTGTGAGGATTTGCTGCTTTTCTCAGTTTCATATTAATGGAAACCAAATATCTTTGGTTTTTGGACCAGCGGCTGGACAGAATGAGACCTTGGACTCTTGGGGAAATGTGGTGAGCATTTTTAAGATTATTGAGGCAGATTAATTGGTAATGAAAATAGCTGTCAGTGAAAGCTGTGCACTTTTTAAGATAAACAAAAGCCAACGTAATCTGATTCTAGCTTATCAAATGTGAATATATGCTTGTTTTCCACTTCTTCTGAGATGGTAAACTGATTTTTTTTTTTTTTTTTTGTTTTGGACTGTTGGTTGGACTTTAAAAATTGTGATGGCCATTTACCACCATTTTATAAACATTTAATTGAGAAAATAATTGACAGATTAATTGATAAGCTCTATATCAGTGCCCCAGGTGCATACTGTGCCCTGTAGGTGACCAGTCCACAGAGTCAGTGTCTCAGCTCAGCTCTACATGATGGTACATTGATGACTTATAATCAGGCTGTATGGAGCCATGGGTGTGATATATGTGAATTCTTCAGTTGTGCAGAGTATCCTTTGTACTTCCAGCCTGAAACACTTCAAGATGCACACACCCGTTACACACAGAGATGCACTTAAGGCTCACAGGTGTCTGGGCCTGAAAGCTCAAAACAGACAAAGACAAATGAGAATTTTCCCTGTTTCTCCAAGGCTGCTGCAAGGAGTCACTTAGCCCTGACCTTCAAGGCCTCGCTGTGGTGCTTTGATGATCTTCACTGTCTCCCTGCACATGGAAAACACACGGTAGCTTTGAACCTGCAATATGACACCCCACAAGCCCCAATATTCTCTGTAAACTTCTAATAATTCAATTTCTTTAAACTATTACAGTTTGTTTTATGTTGTTTTCTATTGGGCTACTCCACTTCATTCTGTTTATCCTAGAAGCCGTAGATTATGACTCCAGGAATGCCGTGTTCCTCTCTCTTCATTTATTTCACTGTGACTGTGCTGTCTATGTCGTTCTTTGTCATGTTGTAGCACCACATTTATCTTATGCCTCCTCTGTATCCCGTGGGACCAACAGTGCTTCATAATTGTCTGTCTTTCCATTTCCCTATTCCCATCGGAAGCACCCTTGTGTGACCTTATGATAAAATAACCTTTGTCTCCTCTCCTCTTCTTTCCTCTGTTTGGCCACTTGCCACATCTGTCTGTTGTCCCTTGTTCTCCTTGAGTTTTCCCACAAACAGAAATCTAGAGAAATTCCTTCAGATTTCTATCCGTGCTGCATTTCAAACATATCTTTGAGTGTTCAGCCCTCCTCCTCCCACAGTGCATGAATGGATGGGTGGATGGAAAGGGAGTTACTGGGACATTTTTTACCAGAGTTTCACCAGTGTTTTTGCCCTCATCAACAATCTTGGCAGTTTGCACAGCTTAACTCCCATCTTCTTCCTCCCCACGCTGTCTGCTGCAGAGTGCACCAACTCAGTAGTGTAATCATGAAAGATGCAGACTGCATAGCTCACAAGGCCAAATGAGGGCAACTAGAATACAGCATACTAGTATTAGCTTTATGAGCTCTCTATCAGCATTTGCATTCATTTAGGCTTCAGCACGTTTTTGTTTCCCTCCAATGTTTTACTGTCTTGGCGTCTGCAGCGTTGGAGAACAGATGGGCCGAAGCTGTGATTTTTCCGTCCCTTAAAGATTGTGGATTTCTTTCATAACTGTTGGCTGTGGCTGTGTGTGACTGTGTGAGAGATGGTTGATGATTTATTTAGCTTGGGCCCGGCGTTCAGAGTGTGCCATGTGTGCTTAGAGACCTGATACTCACAGAGGGCCCGCTCGGTGCTTTTGCCAGTGAAACAGCATGGTGCTGGTGGGTTTCACACTTCATAACACAAGGACACCTCCAGTAAGAGGAAGGTGTTGACTATGAAACATTCTAGAGAGAATGACACCAAGCACCTGTGTCCCTTTACTATATGAATCAAGTGAGGCAAAATTCAATGGACCATTGTGTAGTTGTTCTCTGCAACAAAATTAGGGAAGTTATTTGATGTAGGGCTCATAAGTAAGACAGATTTTTAATATTTTACATCCCAGAGGAGGTAATTTACCTTCACCTAGGTCTGGGTGAAGGTAAATTAGTATTTGATATCAATGTATTTGGTCAAAAATATTCTAATATTTGATTTTCTCTATGTCGCCTAGCCCTAGTGGATAAAATGTTTAGGTGGGTAAAGTAAAAGAGGACACTGATGATATTACAATATGCAAAATCCAAGAGGATATCAAGTCTAATATCACAATAGTGAAAAGCTGTACTGGACTCAAAATTATGTGAAACATATCAGATTTGGCCGTTCAATACCAGGGCTGCCCCCGACTAAGAATTTTCCTAGTCATCCAATAGTTGTCATTTAGGGCCATTAGTCGACTAGTCACCCGAGTGTTTACGATATTAATTTAATTATTAAATTATATATTTTGGGCGGGGCAACACAATGGTTTGAGTTGAAGGTGTGAGAAAGAATAGTATCAGTAACATTGTTAACACTGTGCTACATTACAGAGAAATACAAACCATACTAATGAACCTTCATTAATATAGGCCTATATTTTATCTACAAGTGCACGTCACACACTTAGCGAGCCGCCTGTTAATGACGCTGTGGGCAAAGCAGTATTGATTGTGCTAAGTGGCTAATGGGCATGTAGCTACATACATGTTTCAGATGATACGTCATGTTTGTAGTGGACCAATGAAGATGAGTTTACATATCACCTTGTGTTCATCCTTCACCTTCTCAAAATTGTCCCACGCTTTGGATTTCTTGCCCGACATGTTGTTAACTAGCCTGTGGAATAACTGCAGGTACCAGCCCTGATAATCAACGTGACTCCTGTCTGACTGCTGAGTGTGGCCACTTCCTGAGTGTGTCCTTTCAAATTTAATTCCCACATGGTCCAGTCATATAGGTTTTGGTTTATATTGACAAGGTGCAGCTCCTCATAGAGTTTCACATTTGTTTTTTTATTTTTGGGGGTTTTTTTGCAACTAAGCGACCAATGAAATCTTGCTGTAGTTGACCGTTAGGGGGCAGCCCTATTCAATTCGAATATTCAACCATTTGACCCTTTTTTCCATCCAGATTTTGAGAGTTTGAGTGGGCTTCGTGCTGCGTGACGGTCATATGCATGTAATATAGTAAAGAGGCAAAGTTAGCCCTCCAAGCACATGTATGCTAACTATGCTGACAACGAATCAGAAATGTGGAACAACATTTTTTGCCCAGATCTAGAGCCAAAGACTGTAGCGTATTAAGTTGATGTGGGTTGTAAATTCACCACTTCTATGCAGAAGGTAGAAGATCACGTTGTCTTGGAGCCTGACCAGGCAAAGCATCTCCTCCTCCAGGCAGCTGCCTCCTTCTCACTCATACTCACCCTGGGTCTGGGTCCGCAGCTGCCTGTACCGGAGAGCAGTGTGAAAGCAAGGAGCGCTGACTCTGCAGTTACATCTGGGGACCAAAACGTCCACAAAAGTACACTGCACACTGACTGACACAAAAAAGAATCTCAGTAAACTGAGGGGTCCCCTACTGATGATTCAAAGCTTCGATTTTCGGGGGGCAGCCCTACAATACTGATATAATGTTGATATATGCAGGCCATCTGGGAAGTTGTAAACTCTCTCTTACGCCAACTTCTTTTGTTGTTTCATTCACTAAAGCAGCAGCGGTTAACATTTCCTCTTTAGTAATTGTATGAGTGTAATGCAAAGAGAGACAGGGAGACCATAAAACTCACCCCCACTTCCCTCCTTGTACCCCTGGTGACAATCTTAGCTGTTCCCAGGTGAAACCTCCTCTCAGCCTGGGAAACTCAGATGTTTATCTGTTGGGTCTGGAGGATAAGTGGTGGGGAGGAGTCGGGGCTGGAACCCCCTCCCGTCGCGCTACTCCCAGCTCCACCTGACCGCAGCTCCATCGTTGTTTGACATTTTCCACCTATGATTAGAGTAATTTTTCTGGACAAGGGAAAGCAATCATAGGGAAATCATAAAGATCTGTGTTCATTATTGTGGCCTCAAGGCTGATGGATATGCTAAGATACATGAAGGGTGGGCCTGTATTTCAATAACATGTGGCAGATGAATTCCTGACTCACTTTACTACTTAGGACGTTTAGGATTAATTCAAACTGTGTCTTACTTTTACACACCTTTTAACTTTAATAGACCCTGGAACATGTTGTCTCACTCATTTTACATTTGTTACTAAATCTGGCAAACCTCTATCAGACTGGCATTATTTTATAGGCTGCGTCATTATTACATAAAAGGGAAAAAACCCCAAAATGAATCAATAATCTAGACTCAGTCATATCTACCCTACCTGCAGTAGTATACAGACATTTCTCGCTGGCTCAGGTCTGTGTGTGCGGCCACCACAACATGTGGGGATGGTTAATGGGAGCTGGTTCAGGGCTGCTTCGCATCCTCCGCCTTCGGCAGTTTCCTTAAGTGTAAACCGTCTCTCACACACACAAACATATGGTCTCACATATTGACAAACAGACTTTGGTGGGAACACCCTCCCACTCCTGCAAACACATTGGCAGCAGAACACACAAAGTGCAGTCTTGTGCTACGAGCCACACAGTCTCCTTTGTGGTTTCTGCATAGAGCCCCCTTTCTATACATCTATTGATTGTGTAAACACAGGCTGTGGTAATTGTTGTCCTTGTTTCTCCCCAGCTGTAACCATGTGAAGGTAATCTGGGTATTTGTACACTTCATTGTTGATAAAAAAAAAACAGTGACATATGGCAGCTCAAACAGCTTCAGTGTGTTTTCCATACATTAAAGTGGAAATAGATACTTCAAGTTATCATGATGAAGTAAGTTGATTGCACAGTGTAATGGCTGTGGGATAATGACACACCCTGCATTTAGACGGGTTCCTAAGTCTTGCTTTCACTATGCCAGCCTGTCTGCCACCAGGTACGATATCCTGGGAAAATGGTGGCTCGGTTTACGGCACAAAGGAAGTGCGTCAACCACTGCAAAACCAAAACAGGATTAGGATAGTGCTTTTGTTATCCCCGGTAGCTATCAGTAGCTGTCCCCAGTTACCAAAGAAGTTCTTTCCAGTTACTATCCCCAGTAGCAGAAATGGCGAACAGTAGAACAACACAAGTAACTGTGGAAACTGTGGTAGTTGCAAGGTTCTGTTTGTGACAGTGGCGCCAACAATAATACCACTTGGAAGCGCTAAGGGGGGGAAAGTTGGAAAGCTGTCTGTTTCCACTTTAAAGCCTAGTAATCACCCTTCAGCGTTTTGTTGATATGATAATGGGGGATGAGATAAAACTGGCTTCTCAACTAAACTTTTCTCATAAACATTGCTCATTGCACAGTACTATCAGGAACAGATATCTACTCCTGTTAGAAGGTAATTGAGCTCTTGGTGAGGATAAAACCAAACTGATTAGCTCTCAAATGAATCACCGTTATAATATGCGTGTGCATCTGGACACCAAAGAAATAACTTGAATTTAAGTGAGTACACGTGACTCAGCCCGCTCTAAGTGATCATATCTTCACTATCAGAGCTTAACCTCTGACTTTGACATGAGCCTTTTTTTCCAAGCTTGTCAGTTTCTTATCAACCTCAGTAAGTCCTGATACAACGTCTCCTGTAGCCTCTTTGGAGAAGGAGTAGACTCATGACCCGGATTTAACCCGTGTTGAAAACTCTAATCTCTGTATGGGACCTCGTCCTCCTCTTTATTCCCCTCTGAGGGACTTTACCTCCTCTGAGGGCCGAATGCAAACGGATGTGTATTGATAGAAGAGAGGCCACAGTGTAAATACAGCCCACAATGCACTCCTGCAAATCTCGTGGCTGATTAAAACCGTGTAAACACCATAAAGAAGTTTCAAAACAAAAGGGTGGGGGAAGGGAGGGAAGAATCTAAACCCACGGGAAAACAACAGCATATTGAATGTGACTGCATGGCTAATTTCCTTTTGTGAGCTTGCTATGGTGTGAGTGAACTTGTTTCAAGGTGTTTTGACAGTGTACACCATTCGTTCTGACATTATTTACTTTGAAAATGAGATTTTATTCTGCATGTAAAAATAACAGCTGTTGTTTTATTTTGTTTCTCCCTTCAGGAACTGGTGTCCTCATACGGTCACGAAGACAGTGACTTGCCAGGTGCAGAATGGGACAATCCTGCAGCGAGTCTACCAGACGTGCCGCTGGCCACAGGGATGCACAGGAGGCAGGTGAGAAGGAAACCTTACCACTACTACTACTGCTCTTGTAGTCTGGCCCACAGAATGTAGACCATGGGTATAATCCTGCTGTTGCTATGTGAATCTAGTCTTGCACAGCCAGATCTATCTCTATACTTCATCTTAGCGTTATGCATAAAACAACAACAACCTCGGAGCTAGCAAACTACGACCTAAAATGTCTCTACACATATTCAAACCATTTTCCTTCACTACACTGACACCGATCTTCACTGACACTGTTTTGCAAGAGCTCTGGCGCAACATCCTGGGCTTAGTGCTGCCCAGACCGTTTTTTCCCTCAGTGCAAAATAACGATGGGCTCGGACGGACCTTTTTCCAGCACAGTGTGAGCTAGGTCTGACTATGTGAGACTACTGCTGTACCACTGAGATGTGAGCCTGTTAAAGAGAAGAACCCACCCTAAAATAATTAAAACAACCACTGTGAGATTAGTTGGTACTTTGCTCCTTTTCTATACTTGAATTATGGTGGGGTTTCATTGCAAAAAAACGCTTATCCTTTTAAAGAAAAATCAATGTCTTGTCGTCATTCTTCTTTGACTCAGACACGTTTTTTTAGTCCATGTTCATTTTGTAATGTCAAGTTGGAGATATCAGGATTTTCTGACCGCTACAGTCTGACCGCAACATCTCCCACTTTGCATTAAAATAGAGAAAGCTACAGATCTTAAAGATAAAAAAAACAACAACTGGCCACCTTACTCAGAATAAAAGTCCACAGTACAGGCAGGCAGTCCAAAAATGCATCCGTGGCACTCTGACTGTAGTTAAAAATCCTTCATCAATACATGGATAAACCAACGCGTTCTGACCAGAGAGTCTTCATCAGGGTGTAATGTGCATTGGGAACAGGTGTGCAATTTGTGACTCTGCCCAATCCTTGAAGAGCACCTGCATTTTTTTACAACTAACTACACAGAGTCTTTACCCAGTGCAGCACTCCCTTTTTTTCCTCAGATCTACAGATCAATCAACAAACCATTGGCAAAACGGCTGCAGAGCCACCATCCCTGGCAGTTTCACTTAAATAAAATAAAAACGAGCACTAATACAATCGACTCAGTTCATTCAAAAGGGTGGCAGTGGCTCAGGAGGTATAGTGGTCGTCCACTAATCAGATGGTTGGCCCCTTCGATCCCTGGCCTCTGCAGTCTACACTTCACAGTATCCTTGGACATGATGCTGAACCCCAAATTGCTGTGTGTGAGTGTGCATGGTTGCATAGTGTAAATGGTTATTGTTCATGATGAGCAGATGGCACCTTGCATGGTCGCCTCTGCCACCACAGTGTGTGAATGTGTGTGAATGGGTGAATGCTGGCGTATGTTGTAAAGCACTTTGAGTGGTCGGAAGACACTTTAGAAGTGCAGTTCATTTACCATTTAAAAAGTAGATATACAGTTTGCTAGTATCTGGTTTCACTTGTTGACCTCTTGCACTCCACCCCCATTTTGTAGCAAAAACGCCTAAAATGGCATACCCAAATTAAAATGACTGTAGCGTCTGATTGTATGTTTAGGCTGCTCTGGTGCGAAATCCATAAGAAATAAAAGAAAAACGATGTTATATTTGAAAAGCCAAGAGCTTCCTGAATCCGGCAATACCAAACATCACATGGTTTGATGACGTAGTGCGCCTGGGAGATACCATTTAACAGACGAGGGAGGGAGCGAGGACGTTGACGTCCTGGCGGAGTTAGAGAGGTTAATGAACCAGTCCAAATACGTAACACAGCTAATTCAGGCTGTTTTAATGATAGGATGGGGGTAACCATGCTAGAGCACTACTGTGTTGGAATAAGAGCAGGTTTCCTTGTTCTTCCCATTCTGCCGTCTTTGAGTGAATCATCTGTCATTCAGGAGGAAATCTACTGTAAGATATTCTGATTTCTCAACAACAGATCAAATGCAACACAGCTGCACCACATGTTGCGTTCTTAGGAAGGAACACCTGGAAAATTTCATACAGCAACAAGTGCCTGTTCCTGGGGGGCAGACAAAAGGAATTCTGGGAAATAAAGGAAATGAAAAGATGTAAATGAGGAAGGTACAGTAGATACACTAAGAAAAACAAATAAAAATACAAGACATCAAAAAATAACTTCACAGAGCTCCCAGATCACATCCCAAGGTAGAAAAGTGGGTTATCATAATCACAGTGAAAATGCAGGCAGCTATTGTTACATGTGTGTGTATGTGATGGCTTTACATTTTGTATTTATTTTCCAGCTACAGGACCGTGGTCAGACCTTCCTATAAAGTAGTGTATCGCACTGTGACCTCTCTGGAGTGGAAGTGCTGCCCAGGATTCAGTGGTGCTGCCTGTGAAGAAGGTAAGTCAAGACAGAAGGACTCACATACACACATTAGTTACACAGCAGCTGATAGAAATGAACAGCAGTTGGGTTGGCTCTGGAAGGGGGGCCATTATCACAATCTAGGAAAATGGTTTAGTATGTCGCTGTTTCCTTTGTTCAAGCTTTCCCATTTATGACCATCTGCATCCCTCTGTTGTGCACTGCTGTCTTTATAACCCGCGTATGTGTTTTTCAAATACACGTGTACGAGTAATACTTTAAAACAGGAGTGATTTCCATTATGCTTACATAAGCCACCTTCTGTCGTCTAAATGAAGTTAAGAAATAAGATCCTTCAGCTGCTACGGGGTGAGTCAGAATGAACACATTAAAACTGATTAATAAAGTGGAAGTATCTAAGAGTCATTGTGCTACGCAATAGTTCTTTTGTGTGGTTTTGAGTTTTATGGTCCAGCTGGAACCAAGTCTTCATCCTCTTAAAGTGCCATGCTAGCACTGCTGTTTTCATTTTTCGACTACAGTAGCTGCCCACCACACACACACACACACACACACACACATACACATATGCACATACACTCACAGTGCATAATGACTTCCCCTGGCGCTGGTCCCCATGTCTCTGCAGCCCGGGGAGAAGGGTGGAGCGTCTGTTTATGCTGGGACCCAGGACTTCATTGGGTGTAACATAAATCGTCAGGCTTTGCGACACAAAGGACAATAACTGTTTACAGTGGTTAAAGTGGTCACTTTTTTGTGGTGCTGAAAGCAGAGGCTGTTTTTCTCTTTTATGCTACCACTCCCAGGTGAACTTAGTAGTTCTCAGCCCTCCCAGTGGCCTGTAGGCCGCTGCAGTGGGGCTTCAGCTGGAGAAATGTACCCACTTCAAAACTCCCTGAATGTCATGCTTGTTTAGACCTTCCCCACTTTCAAAGTCAAAGAACACATTGACAGTCAGACAACCCAGACTTTACTTAACAAAAGCAGGGGAACACACAGTCAAACAGGGAGGAAATTATCCAATTAAGTTGTTGCTGGAGGAGATTCCCCTCTGGTTGTCATGGCAGTAGGGGGCTGTCGAGCCAGCAGGGATGCTGGGATTAGCCACTTATCTGAGCGTTGTTCCGGGTGGCTCAGATCACAGGCGGCGCTGAGTGGAAGTGACAGGTCCCATTCACAGGGCCTTTACTCTCCGGCACCATGGATGCTATCCAGGGCCACCGGCGCTTTGTTCTGCTCCTGCCGCGTGAGCAGAACCTCTTGCCAGCGCAGAACCTGATACCCCGCTGCTGTCTGCCTCATTCGCCGCTTTAAGGAGAAATAAAAGCTTGCCGCACGGGCAAAGCTGGAGACCGGATTGTGCTTAAATCTGTTGCCATAGTGTTGCCAAGTGAAGTTAAAGCTGCACTCGTAGTTCACTGGGTGCAAGTTTCAAATCCGGGCTCTTAATACCTGTTTGTGGCTCCATCTGCAAATCTCTACACATTTCTTTGTGGATTTGCAGACGGCTTTGAGCACTTGTTTGACCTTCAGTTAGGCTGAATTAAAAAGGCTCAGGCCAAAAAGCACCTCTGTTATATTAAAGAACAAACAACTATCATCTGTTTCGAGATCTGCCGTCTAGGTCGGACATTAAAAACATATTGCTTTTGATCTCATAAATCTGGTTAATAACTAACACCGGATACATATATCTTTAAAGACCTCTTTTAGAGCTCCAGTGTTGATTATATACCTTTTCTCCCATCATTCCTTTCCCTTTGCACGTCTGCTTTTCACAGACTGTGGAAAATGTGTATGATCCACTCATTTACTCACGCTGCCCTGCTTTTACCTCCACCCGTCTCTCACCAGGCCACCCCAAAAGCCCCTGGCCATGTCTGACTCCCAAGGCCGGTCTGCATTACAGCAGATCTCAACAATGTCCATAACAGCAGGACTCTGGGGCTGCTTTAAGGTGCAAGAGAGGAAAGGAAGTGCGTTATGAGCCGAGAGCACGACCATTGATATGGCCATATTTTAAATGGAGATGAGAGAGTTGTTTTCTCTTGTGTCCCTCCGTTCTCACCCCTCTGCCTGCCAGATGATTGGTCAACATGCGTAAATCAACGGGTCCAGTCTGAAGTAAAGATAACGTGTCTCTGTTTAAGTTTTGGATTTTGCGTTTCCAAAGCAGCAGAGCGCAGAGATAAATGAGAGACCATTATGGAAAGAGTTTACGCCATGCTGTCATCCGGTCATACACAGGCTCGTGAGGCTTTTTTGGCCTATCATGCTCAAACTGAGGGCTCCAAAAGCAAAACATTACATCACACCCAGGCTGATAAACAAACTCACTCCATCAGAGTCCAAGCAGAATAAGATAACACCGCATCAGACAGGCACCTTTCACATTCACTCTCCTTTTCTTATTTCCTCACCCCAACCTCAGGACTTGGCTGGAATTCCAGGCCAGTGGTGTAATTACTGTGTCCTAATTGTTTTCTATGAGGTTTGGGAGATATTGTCTTACTTGTGGACCTGGAACACAATGGTCTTTATCTCTGATTGAGCCTGAGAAAAAAAAAAGGCTAAGTATTTGCAGATGGAGGCACTTTCATAGCCTGCCAGAAACAGGGATTTAATGTATGCCTGGTTGGCTTTGGCATTCCAAGTAAGTAAATGCTTGTTTTCAGATGGGATATCCCAACTTGTGCTACATCAAACACAAATATCAAAATTATACCTCATTTAGAAGCAATTTTGTGATAGGAGAATATCAAATGTAGCTCATAAAAGCGACATTATTACATTAGAGTTGGCGTTCTAAGACTACCATACAGGTTGCATCAGCATCAACATACAGAACAGCAATGAAGAATGATTGCAGCTCAGCAGTCGTGAAAATGAGTTAAATTCGTAAGTGTTTGGACTTTAGCACTTTGTGTGTGCTAATTTTGATGGAATCTTAAAAGTGTGAAGATGACACTAAGAGACAGCAGCAGATATCTGTGCCTTGAATTGATTTATGAAAGGACAGCACTTAAAAGAAATATGGCTGCAGCTTATCACAGGAGGGGGCTGGCATGCCATAGAACATATGGGGGGACGTAGACTTGAATTAGCACGGCTGTCAAAGCTCTGCCGCGGGGGTCCCCATCAAGCCGTATCTCGCAGCCAAGCGGAGACTGCGGTTTTTGGGTCGCAATTACGGTATGGCTGGGAGGCAGAGGCGCGCTGTCTGTAATAAGCCGCAGAAATGTAATCTGTGTTTTCACAGCTCAGCGCGGCTTATCACAGGCCTGCACGCTAAACCCTGCGCTTTAAACATCAGTCGGCTGCAGCTTGCCATTAGCAAAGGAAGAGTGGGAGTGCGTGGACGCCTGTATATGTGTCTGTCTGACTGCCAGAGTGAATGTGTGGGTGGGAGAGTGAGGTGTTGAGGATTTGTACAGTGAGGGATGCAGCTGTTCAGTGTGATTAGCTGCTTTAATGGCAGCAGGCCTTGGTAGCTGCAAGTGGAGTGACCCCAGCCTGAGGTCAGAGGGGAGGAAGCTGTACAAGAGCAGGTGACCTCCACTCCCACTCCTCTTAGACCACACAGAGCCCCACTATCAAAGTCCGAACACTGACAAAACATGGAGTCACCTTTTCATTCAGCCCTTCTGCCACTCACATTCCTGGATTCCCCTCGTGTTCGCAATAGCAGGTGTTAAATATGTTAGACTCTCTTGCTCCAGTTCATTCACAGAAAACAGATTTGATGTCAGACTTAGTCACATGCAGAGTATTTATGTGCTCAAGAGAAGAGGTCCACAAAGGCACATAAATCGCATACGTACAGGGAGGCAGGCTGTGCGCAGAAAAGGCCACAGCAGCTGATATTCATGGTTATGTAAATGGCCAGCGCAGCACAAGTGCCGAGCCCAAATTGGAAGCAGCTGAAGTTAAGGCAAACTGGGCTGAGGGCCCCAGATGAGATTAGACATGGGAGCGTCCAACCCTTTCAGCCCATGCTGCTCCGCTCAGGGGAATTGTCATTATAGTCATTAATTAACAAACAACACCACTGAAGATACCGACCAGCCAACCTAAAATAAACTAAACCAAACAGCAGAGGGAAGTTCTCCCTCCTCTCGTCTGCCGTTCTTTTCTTAGTTTCCTTCTTATGTAAGCGTGTGCTGGTATATGCATCAGGTTTATGAAAAATCCCAAAATTATACTTTATTGAGGGTTCAGGTATTTAAATTGGAATATATACTAATAATTATGATAATATTATTACGACATTACTTTTGAAATGTTCCATGCAAACCACATACAGAGCAGTCTGTGGAATAGTAATGACAGACTCACAAGATTTATAATATGCCTTTATGGTTTATGTTTGACTGTAATATTGTGAGACCAAGGGCAAGAGACAGTAATGGTAGAGCAGAATTTCGTAGCCAGATTCATTCATTCTATCTGCTCCTGGTGTTGAAAGTGTGTAAGATTTGTGTGCTCACCTTCTTTCTGATCCAAACATCCTGGAGGTTTTTACCGGGAGCCAAATTATCCGCTGAGGTCTCTTCCTCCTTCAAAACAAACGGACCTACTGATTTAAACTGGTAAAAAAACGGAATAAAGCAGCTCCACATTACAAATCAGTGTTTGTCCGACGCTGTTTGCCTCATCGCAGACGGACTACTAGCCCAGAACCTAATCTGTGCTCACTTTTTCCTTGATAACTAACCGATAACTTAAGATCCAGACGTTCACGAGGTTTTTAGCGGGAGCTGAACTATCTGCAGAGGTATCTTCCTTTCCAAAACAAACATACACAGTGATTTAAACTATTAAAAACACAGAAGGAAGCAATTTCATGTTAAAAAAAAAAAAAAAATCAGTGTTTTTCTGACACTGCTCATCACAGTCGGCCTGCAAACTACGGTGACGAACATGAAAATGCGAAAACATGAATGGCCTTATCTAGAGCCAGTGTTGTTTGTTCATTTTGGGCTACTGTAGAAACATGGTGGTGCAACATGGCAAAC